TAATATATGTAATAAAAAAATTATAAAAAAAAAATTTTAAATAAATACAAATATAAATTTCTTTCATGATTTTTGGAAAATTAAAAAAAAATTCAAAACTTTTAAATTTCTTACTAATTCCAAGCAGTTACGGTGTCTGTTTTATGAAAAAAATATATTTAGTCACTAGTTAAGGGATAAAAAATTGTCGATCAATAATACCATGTCAATTATTAATATCCCAATATTTAGATTTCTATTTATTTAGAAATAAACTATTAAATTTCGTAGCTAAAGATGGATAACAAAGAATGTAGAAAAAATATTAATAGAAAAGTATTAAAAACTCTCCTGAGATTTTTTAAGTTTAAATTCCTATAATAAGCTTATAATTAATAATAAAATTAAATAATTCTTGTAGTATTTTAGTTAAAAAAGAAATTAACAATAATTTAGTTAATGTATTCAGTTTCTATTAAAGCGACAGTGATTTCGCATTGAATAATAAAATCATTAAATACCTACAAATCTAGCGTAAATTTTGGGGCACGCTGAAGTATAAATAAGTATTAAGTGAAATGTTGGAAGAGACATCGGTGAGACCCAATTTTCCATGGTTGTTATTATTTTTATTATCACGATTTTTTGGTATTAAATAAATAAAATATTACACTAACGTATTCACAGCACTAGCTGCTAAGTCCTACTTTGTTGTTCTTAAAAAGTTGTCGATTATAAAATAAATTTGTATATACTACAATTGCTTTTTTTAATAATTTCTTTAAAGCTTAGAATTTTTGAAATTTTTTTAATGAATAAATTTTTCCTACCGATGACAATATGAATTGTAGATGTAAATTATGCCTTAGAAAACAATTTATAAAAGCCTTTTTCGTTGATTTCGGACCATACTAGATCTATTAGTATTTCTGAATTACCGAATAATTTGCATCGAGTTACATTCAGAAGAAATTGATATTATTTCTCTTTAAATTTGTAGTAGCAAAACTTCTTTGCTAAGCTTTAGCTGGTCACTAACCTTTTAGATGAGTTCTCATATTTATTCCAAAGTTGATTTTTTGAAAGAACCAACAGATCCAGACTTAACATGCGAGAGCTCTGCCACGGCGCCAACATCAGCCATGCAATCGCTCTTGAGCGCAACGGTATTGTTTAAATCATTTAGGAGGTGATTACTGGCTCTCCATGTGCTCTATGTAACTCGGCTCTTTCAGCCCATATATATCATTACAAAAATTTTCTTCGAAAACACTTGTTCCTGGTTCTATTACCGGAAATAGAAATACAACAATTTCATAAAATAGCCACCATTATGTCAGAATATAAATCATAAAAATGAACGCAAAATAATTAAGCTATGACAATTCCGAGGTGCCAAGTTAGTGTAGTACAGAAATACAAGCAAATTCGTTCAGCAGCTTCATAGTCTACTGCGAACTAACAGTCAGACCTTTTTTCCTTATATTTTTGGCATAATTATCGATTGCTGCTTTAAGAGACAAAACAAATTGAATACAAGCATATCTGGAGAAAATAATTGAGAAACCCAAATTATTATAATTTAGTTTTCTTGGTGCTTTTTATGTGCCACTTGAGCAGCTCAAGACTTTCAAAACCATATTTCTATGAAATCATATTAATGTTAACCAAAAATTGACTTCAGCCTCACAAAATTTAAATTATATCATTTTTTTTACTTTCAAGTAGTGTAAGAACCATAAAAGTTTGCCCTTTGCCTCGGTACTGGATACAAGTCTTCGTAAGCGGCGGGGTAACTCAAGTACAGTGGAGATTAGACGCTCCAAAGCTTTGTCTTGCAGTTTAAATCAAGGAAGTTAAAGGTGGAAACAGCCATTGTTATAGCTTAATTAGATAGCCTTTCGGTTATTGTAAGCGGTAAGTGTTTGATAAACCTTGAATTTCTGACGAATCGGGTGCTGGGTTGACTCAGTGCGACTTATGGTAATACAAAAATAATACCAAAATCTAGCCTGACAAGCAGAGCGTACTTTACAGCCTAAACTAAGCGTTACTTGATTGGTACACTACATGGCAAATAATTTTGGGTTGTAGATCAGAAAATCAAAGTATGGGAACATTTTTATGATTCTTGGTTATATAGAGTGGGCTAAAATTGTTTAGCTTAGCAAAAATACTGATTTCAAAAAAAAAAATCTTTTTTTTCTACTGCCTTTGCGGCTTTGTTCCCTCTATTTATGGGAATAAAAAATCAAAAATTTAGCTTTAGCGGTTTGCACCAAATATATATGTATGTATAACGATTCTCCAGTTGAAGATATTAAAGAAATTCACTGTACATTGTTAAAAGTTATTTTTAAAACATAATTTTATTCCTCCATAACTACGGATTTCCTTAAAAATTCCTATCTCAAATATTTGTATTTTTGTTGTGTTCCCGGAATTTCTAAAGTGTTTTTTTAGGTCTCCACATTTCTCAGTGACATTCTAAATATAGAATTTCCAACTTGATAGCTCGACATTTGTAAAAGTGGGTTCTCGATTTTGTATAATTTAAAAAATGGCATTAAATTTTCAAAAACGGATTTGCATTAAATTTTGCTTGAAAAACGGTTTCAGAGCTAACTTAAAGAAAACTTTGGCTTCAGAAGTGGTTATGAGTCCGTAAACGAAGATTAACACACTGGCAGACCATCGACAGCGAAAACTTATGAAAGCAATAAAAAAGGGCACATCGACAACAGTGAGTATTATTTTGGGGCGTTCTGAGGCGTTTGCGTGAAACGGTGCGACGAAAAAGACTAATCGTGGATCTTGCACTGTGAGAACGCGACGTCGCACCAAAATAACAGCGTTATCCGTGCACATTTGCTTAAAAACGAAACGAATAACATTCAACAACCACCAAATTCAATTGATCTAATTGTCTGCGATTATTTCCCCTACCGTGGAACGCTCCGTGGAAAGCGTTACAGCACCAGAGATTTGATTATGGAAAAATCAAAGATAACTCTGATGGACATAGCGCTAACCGAATATGAAAAATGCTGCGAGGATTGGATCAAGCGCTGACATAAATCCGTTGCAGTTGATGTGGAGTACTTTGACGAGGACAATATCGATTTCAATCTATGTATAATCGTGTATTTTTCATGCTTTGTATATATATGTACATAATAACCTCAAGAATTGCTGAGACTTCATATCGAAAATACGTGATATTTAAACAAACAATATTTTTTCATTAAATATATTATTGTCAAAAGATTTTAAGGAATTTGTAGCGTATTTTTTTGAATAAAAAAAATTAAATCCTTTAAAATAAAAAATTTTTTAATCAAATTTTTAAGCTGTATACAAGAAGTGTTCAGCCTGATATATAAGCTTTCCAGTGATACTAATTTTTTTTAAGTTGAGTAACCATTAGCTAACTTATAACCTCTTTTATAAAGCAACTTCAGGTTTCGACAAGCTCTTAACAACTACAAGTCAAAAATTTTGAAAATATTTTCCTTCAATTTCGGTTAGTTTTAGAATGAAATTCTTAATACATACAGCTGTGCTCAAAATAATAGCAGTGCTAAGTATTAAAAATTGCAAGTAAAAAATATAAATTATTTTCGAAATAATTTCAGCGCATATTTAAATTAAAACTTAACTTTTTTTGTGACAGAAAAGAATATTTAGACGTAAACCGCAATATGAATAATTACTAAAATATTCTTATAAAATTAAATGAATAGTAAGCAGTCAAAATAATAAACAGCAGTAGGTTATGAGGTACAAGTTTAAGTAGCGTTTTGATCAAGAAAACTCAAAATCTTATTAAAAAAAAGTACTTGAATGCCTTGTGTGCAGAATCCTTTGTTGTTATTACCTCATTAAACGAAGAGGCACTGAATTCGCCGAATTTTTTCCAAGTGGTTTAGCTTACCTTGCTCGTTCAACCGCACCTTATTTGCCAGAAGGGATATTAGCTATTATGTTTCGAGTCGTTATCTCGCTGGTAGACCCTCTTACTCTTCTATGACATAAGAAAAAATATTTTTAACCAATATATCGACATATTTTTGACCATCCATTACACTAGTTACGCTCTATATGGAGCCTATCCCGTAATATGAAAGGTAACCTCAAATTAATATTTTTCATTACCCATATTTAACGGTATTTGTAGTGTTTCGGGGGTGTATTTAGTATGGCGTTTTCGCCGAACTTATTGTCTAGTACTCTTTTCGTCAAAAAGTAAAATTTTACTTTCTTCGAACTAAATTCCACAAGACCACTAAAAGCAAAAAAAGTAGTAATAAAATATTTTAATAAAGTTTTTTTCTTCAAATTACTTTAAATTGAATATATGAACTTATCTAGCATAAAAACCGCTATTGTTTTCACCTTTCATCAGTAAAGCTACTTTATTGTAAACATAATTAAAAAAATGCTGTAAGTTCTGCAGTAAAAATTGCAACGCTGTTATTTTGAAAACTCTGAAGGTAACGGTATTTCGCAACATTCTGAAAGAAAAAAATTATATTTGTTCTTTCGCTTATTTTATAATTTTTGAAATTCATCCGAAACAACGAGAATTTTAAATTTTGTTCCATCTATGAATTTAAAAAATACTATACTTAAGATACTACTATTTCTTAAAAAAAAATACCATTTTATTACTTTTGCTACCAATTTGCGCACTCCAACATAAATACGCCCATTTTTGCTACTATTCAGCTACAATTCCGCTACACTACTTCCGCTCACAAACAAAGCTGCTCTTTAGCCTCCCACGTTGGCAACAATTTTCTCAGCGCTGAGTGTGAGCCACACAAGCGCCGCCAAATGAGCAGCGGCGTACGTGTAAGTACGACAATAACTTGTTTTTCAACTATTAGCAGGAGATACATAAATAACTGCAATACTAAACAATACAAATGTGGAGCTATTTCATTTTAATGAGCGCACCACTTTCTGCGCATGCACGAACATTATTGTGGAGCAGCAGTGAGCTTTGAAGAAACTTACAAAGCTAAATTACAAAACCGGTTGAGTTTTCTAGAGCAACAAAGAGCGGCGGCAGCAAGCAGCACACCGTTGGCATTTAGCGTTGGTGAGAAAATTTTTGTTATAGAGCACAATGCCCAGATAGTGGAGAGTCAAAGTTAAAGTAAAGAGTGGCGGCGCACTTGTTGAAAGCGACAACAAAAATACAACAAGCGACAATAAGAAATATATGAGTGCAGTTGGCGGCATAAACTGGTCAAAGGCAAATGGCAACACTAATTTAGTAGCAGGTATTTTGTTTTCTATTTGTTTTGTAGTTGTTGCTGTATTGTGCTTGTTATTGTATCATATATATATTTTTTTTTTATTGTGCTCAATTATTTTTAACGTTTGCTATACAAAACTCAAACGCTGCCGAAGATGTTTTTGCCGTCCTCGTTGTCATCGTCATCGTCGTTGGTGTCGTTGGTGTGCGGCATGCGACGATGATATTATGGGAGAATCCAACGTTGCCGTCGCTGTCGCCACCATAAAACTATGACTTGTGTGTAGCATCGTATACAATGCCGCTGCCACCACTACCACTACTACTACCACCAACACAGCATTGTGGCGAATGTTTATAGATTTTCAGTCGAATTTTGTTATTTCACGTACAAAGTGGCGCGCGCGGGCCGCCGCTATAACAAATCAAATCGTGACGATTATTAGTGGATTAAAGAAAGAAAGAATGAAAAAAAAAATATATGTCGAAAATTTGTAATAACAATAAAAACAACAACACAAAAATATTACATGGTGAAAAGTGTATGAGGTGTATGATGAAAGCGTGTGCGCGGTGAAAAGGTGATTTTGCTTGACTGCTGCACATATTACGACCGAGTGCGGTGTGGCATGGAGTGGAGCGTGGAGTCGGTTGCATTATTGTTAAGCGAAATAAAAAAAAAATTATAAAAAATTCATTGCAAATGTTTTAAATGTTAATTATGCTAACATTTATGAAATGCTAACGACATTTTTCTACACGGAAATAAATTAAAATTTCTGCATTAAGTGACTTAACGGCTGGCATTGTTGCAGCAAAGCTGTTGCGCGTTTATAAATTATCATAATTACATACATACACACTCGCGTATGTACATATGTACATAAAAGTGGCGGCATTAATGAGTAACGGAAGTGATATATTAAATCAAATTATTGCTTATTTATTGAAATTATCGGCTGTTAACTGCCGGATGTTGCCACCTAAGGTAGAATTATAGAAAAAAAATTAATAAATAAAAATAAGAAAAAAATAATAACGAGCACAATTTGACACAGAAAAAGCTGTCAGCACGAACAGTCATTTATGTATAGTGTAAATTGTAGCAAAGCAATTATTGGCGGCAATCAAATGTGACAACTGACTGGATATGCATAGAAATGGCAAATTGTGTGGTGAATGTTATAAAAATTAGTATTTAATTTGATTGTAAAAGGAAGCAGACAAAAAAAGTTAAAAGAGCGGATAAAGAAATAAAAGAAAAATAAAGTATAAAAAATAATTATAATTGAAAAAATAAAATAAATTTCACAAAAGTAAATGAGAATAAAAATAAATAAAAAAATAATAAAAATCAAATAGAAGACATCAAAATAATAAATAAAGGTAAATTAAACTTTTGAAAAAAAAATAAATGAAAAATTATTATAAAAATAATATAAAAAAAATATCAAAATACATAATAAATAAAGGTAAATTAAAATTAAAAGAAAAATTGAAGAAAAATAAAAAAATAAATATTATTTAATATATGTACATTTCAAAGAAATTTCAAATCAAAATAAAAAAGTAAAAGGAAATTAAATCAAAATTAAAAAAAAAAAAATTAAAAAAAATAATATATATATATATATATATATATATAGTATTATATGTACATTTAAAAAAAAATACAAATCAAAATAAAAAAGTAAAATAATAAAATAAAATTAAAATAAAAATAAATGAAAAAATAATAATAAAAATGTTTTAAATGAAATTTCAAAAAAAAAAAACATAATAAATAAAAGGAATTCAAAATTAAAATAAAAAAATATAATATTTACATATATATATGTATAGTATTATATGTTAATTTAAAAAAAAATACAAATCAAAATAAAAAAGTAAAATAATAAAATAAAAATAAAATAAAAATAAATGAAAAAATAATAATAAAAATGTTTTAAATGAAATTTCAAAAAAAAAAACATAATAAATAAAAGGAAATTAAAATTAAAATAGAAAGATAAATAAAGATAAAATAAAATTAAATATAAAAGAAATTAAAAAAAAATAAAAATTGAAAGCGTAACAACAGATGCAAAAAAATGTTGTTTAATAATAGTTATGTAAATATGTCTTTATATACAAAAATAAAAAAACAAGCATTGAAATATACAGTAATATACAAAAAGCAATTAAAATGAAAATGTGATTAAAAATAATAAATAAAAAAAATTTTAAATAAGATAAAAATAAAAAACGAAAAGAAAATTTAAAGTGGAAACTCAAAATAAAACCATAAAATCCGAAAATAGCAAATCGTACAATAAAAAGTGCATAAAAGCGCTCAAATATGCACAAATGCACAAAAAAAGCAATTAAAGTGTACATAAAGCCGTTAAAATATGCAATTATTTATAGCAAAACAATTCAAATAAAAATGTGAATTCTCACATTTCGCTACATTATCATTAAAACTCACAATTTTCCGTTATAAACTTTCGAAAAATTAATTTTAAAATGTAATTCAACTGATATAATTAAATGAAAAGCAATTAATGCCGCGCAAAAATGTGCCAATAACAGTGTTATTACATGAATACTTGCATAATTTTAACATATTTACGTACATATATGCACATATAAATATACATACATAAATAAAACAATTAATATATGCGCAATTATTTTATAAAAATTTAATTACCCCAAACTTATCATGTTCCCAGTGCAATAATTTACTGCAGTGACAATAAAAGTTTTTCTTTAATTGAAAAAATAACTAATTATCATCGCATATTTACTGTAAACAACGGCAGTCATTTGGTGTGGCATGTGGCAATGAGGCGTGAGGCAGCCGCCGTCGAGTTTGTGCAACGCGGAATTTTTATTATTATTTTTTTTTTTTGCTTTTAATTTTTGAAATTAAGCAAAACACCCACTTAAGTGTAGCAGCGGAAATAATGCTTTTGGGATTATTATTTGTGCAACATACTTGCATACATACATACATGTATGTATGTGCATAAGATGTACACTGTTGACGAAGTCCGTCATTAAGTGTAGACACACACAAGCATAATTAAACTTTAAGTAAACAAACGTATACATATGCTTATATATATTTGTTCTATATAGCATATATGTATAAATGTATATATATCTGTGTGTATTATCGCATGATTTCTTGCCACAAAAACCGTTTTGTCGTATCCGCTGTGCGGTTAACGGTTTGATTTGGTAATTTTTAGAATTTGCGCGCGCCCACTTCCTTTTCACGCATACATGCACAGCCATATACGCGTGTACACATATATACATATATACATACACAAGTATTTGATAAATGATTTTGTGTATGTTTGTATGTCATTAATTTCACTTGTGTTTGTGGGTGTACGAACTGGTATATACACGTATGTATGTATGCATGCACATTTGTGTGACCCGCATCTCTTACCACATCCGCTGTACGTACGTGTTCATAATAAATTAAAAGCCATATTTCATAATAAAATTAAAAAATGCAAAAAAAATATCTACAAATAAACAAACAAACATGCATATATATACACATATACAATTAAATGTACATATTAAATGCAAAAAGCTCATAAAAAAATCCGCTACGAGTGTGTAACAAAAATTATTACTCTGATATACAAATAGTGAGAAGAGAAGAAAAAAAAACAAGCCAACGAATTAAAATTATAATAAACAACCGGCACTCAAGCTAGTGGAAGCAAATTATGATTTATGAGCTTCAAGCTCACACACCAAACTACACATGTACCTACATACCTACATATACATATATTTACATATTCACATGTATGACTACTTAAATGCTTGCTACAACCTACATATATACATATATCTATATGTTAAGTGTGGCTAGCAACACTAAAGGCAGCTACTTATGCGACTAAAAGAACGCTGTTTAGGAATATATGAATACATACAAGTTTATATATACATATGTATGTATGCTGTTGACGCCAAAGCAAGCGTGTCCAAACTATTAAACAATATGTGCATTTCAAAATATGGAACATAAAAAGCAACCAGGCAGAGACGCGGTGCGTTCGGAGTTTGACGATAAATATATGTACATACATATATATATGTATGTATGTATATGTGCACGAGTTTGCTCATGAATAATCAAAAGTAGAGTTTTTATTTCCAAAGGAAGCTTTTTTTAGCGACATACATACATATTTATGACAATAATCCTTAAAATTTTACTCAATATATTATAAAAGTATATACATACATAAATATATACAATAAATATTGTATATACATATATCAGTTCGCTCCTTAAACCACGCTTCACTCGCCACGAGAATCCACCTGCATATACGAGTACAACGCGCTTATCATCTCTCTGTCGCTTTCCAGTACCAGCTCGTTTTAGCTTCCACAGTACATGGGATTTACTACAAATAAAAGTTAGGTTAGCTTTCACTAGGGGCTACCAAGCTGTAGTGTAGAACTGTTTGGCCTTTGTAGTGGCAAAAGGAGGATCAATTCAACTCACAATGAAGCAGTCATCACATAAGCCCCTCAAAATGAATTTTAAGTCTTATTTTAGACCTCGCAATAGAGAGTCTCTCAGTTATTATCTAAGATATTTTCTAGAAAGAGTTCTAGGGAGAGCAGAGCGCACGTGTTCCGAACGCGCAAACTTGCTGCCTTACACTTGCTGTGTGTAAAACTGTCTACTGAGCTCGCATCTGACGCCTTTCAATGGTGTTGGTTTTTCAATAGGTTGTCAGTATGTCTGCAACCGCACTACAGTACTCTTGAGTTTCCTTGAACCAATGCTAACCGCCTGCCTCTGCACTGGATTGTTTAGCCATTTCATTTCGTCCTGATTTTCCTTCTTAAAACATTCATTGTACGGAGATTTCAGCGTCCTTCTGTGCAGTTTCGATCGTTTCGAGATTATTTTCTCAAACGCAGCCTCGCTGTCAATCAGCAGCTTTACTTAACAGGAAGACCTCCGTCTGGAGAATAGATCTAACCCAGCGCTATAGATTCAGGCGACCAAGTAGGCTGTGTGGATGTCTTTTTTCCGTTAAAGTTACCAACTCTGCGAAATAAATAAGATATCTATATGCATATCTCTGAGATAAACATGAGAGAGAGAAGCAGAGAGATGAAGAGAAGAAGAGAAAGATAAAGATAGTGAAAGAGAGAGATAGAGATAGCGAAAGGGAAAGTTAAAAACAAGGTGAAGATGAAAGATTTTATCCGAGCTCAGCAAAAACTCTCACTCTTTGGCGGTATTTCTGAAATTTTTTTACTCAAATAAAGCTGCTGAATGCAAGAAATGGTCAACCGAAAATTGTCGATTGATTTCTTATGACTTCTGGGCGGCTTTTTGAACATCGGTAGCTAAAGAGTTACGACATTGCAGCAGTCGCATTGTTTTGAAAGCTTACAAGAGCCTGGAGATGTGGCCTATAAACTTAACGTATCCTCTAAAGTAATGCCAGGACTGCAAGGTTTTTATGAGCGACACCCGGTCTATCTTTAGGGTTGAACGAGTTTCAGTCCCAATAGTGCCACTCACATGAAAAGATTGGGAATAATTATGTTATTTTGAGCATATATTAACTAAATAACTGAATATGTATGTATGTTCAAGCATTTGCCAAGTGTTGCCACTAGAAATAACGTGATTTTAAGTAATTTAATTTTAACAACTCGCCTAAGTTTTTGTTGTAAAAATAATGACTGCAAAAAATGTATAAAAAAATATATCAATAAAAAAAAACAGTAGTAAAATAGTGCAATAGTTTTTGTAACAACAACAATTTATAATTTATTGCTCAATTAGTGCAAATAATAGTGAGTGAAGCAGCTGAGCGTCAGTCAGTGGCTGGCAACGTCAGTTAGCCAACGCTCTCGTCTGTGGCGATGAAATATGTGTACACGTACACACATACATATGTACATACATATACATGCATATATGTATGTAGACAAATGTGGTAGCAATTAACAAATAAAAACTACAGCAAATAACAACAAATTAATGCAGCAATAAAAAAAATAAAAACAAAAAATAAGAAAAAACTAAAAAAAATAAATAAAGCTTAAAATTAAAAAAAAAAATGTATAACGAGCGTGTTGAAAAAATATTGTGCAACTTGTGTAAAATGCAATAAATGGAAACTCATATAAATTAATAATGCGAACAACAAGCGCGCCCGCCCACTCCTTGTGCACGCATACACCCAAGCAGTCATAAATATGTAGAAATGTTTGCAATTATTTTTACATACATATGTACATATGTGTGCAATCATAGCATACACATTTGTACATATATATATATTAACAACTATAAATTTAATAAATATTATTATTTTTATTATTATTTTTACAGCAATAAGTGATGTTCTCTGAAAACAGCACTAAATTCGTTAATTGTAGGCCATATTTATTCCAAAAAAAAAAAAAAACAAAAGAAATAGTAAAATAAATAATATCAAATAAACACGAAATAAACTACAACGAAAATAACGCGAAAAAACTGCTCCAGCGCAGTCTTGCATAAAAACAAAAAACAAAAAAAAAACTACAAACATACATATTCATCATCAAACAACAGCAAAAAGGTGAAATAATCGCATTGCAATTGGTAATTAAAACACATTAATCAACTTGCAACAAAATAACCGTTAAACTACAACTACTAAATTCACTGCACACAACAACGCGAAACGTGCAACAAAAAACAAGCGTGTTGCTTTTATACAACGCATGCGCATGCGCTAACAACACACGATTAGCACACAAGTGCAGGAGCAGCAATTGTTGTCGTTTAACATATACACATGTACATACAAACGTTTGTGTGGCAAAGTAAGAGCAACATCCTAATAAGCAACAGCAGTCAACAGCAATTTGTAGCAGCAACAATAACAAAATATAAAAGTTAATAATCGCGCAAACATTTCACGCATACATTTGCATACTCCATTGTACGCGTGCGCAAGTTCTCACTCTCGCGCTCATACAATTTACAGAGAGCGTGGTGTGCGCTCTCTCTCGCTGAAATTGGTGTGTCCGTTTCGTTGCTGCGCTCTTTGTATGAACAGTGTTGCCAGCAAATCAGCATCGGCACAAATTTAACTAGCTCTATCGTTTCGTGCTGTATTTGTATAACCAAAGCCTCAAAGTGGATTTAACAAATTATAACAAATTGCTGCAGTCCAGCAATCAATATTTGCGGCCAGATTATCTGGCCGCACCGAATGCGGTAAGTTTGTTTTATATTAATTTGAAGCCTCCTAATTGTGAAAAATTATAATTATTTTTGCGCAATTTTCCCATATTCCTGTTTTTTTTTATTTATAATAACTTTTTTTTCGTTAAAATTTTCAATTATTTTTCATGACTTTTATTGCTCTCCTCTTTTCGTGAAATATAATATATTTTATGCCAGAAATGTGCTCCGAGAGGTTGATATTCCATACCGAAAGGTGACCAGAATTTGCAAAATTAAACTTAATTTTTTGATTCAACTCAGTTTTCTAAAATTTTGACTGCCACTGAGTAAGTGTGAAAGTTAATAGCGCATTTACTATTAGATTATGGCCTTTCATGGTTTTCATTCATTTTTGTAAAGAATTTTATTTTTTTCGTTCGTTTTCCGACACATTTGTGTTAGTGTATAACAGCTGTTTGACATTTCTCTCAGAATTTCGCAGCAAACATTGAAAGAGAGCGCTGTTGACTACCACATTTGATCTATCCTCTGACAGTGTGGTGTGTTCGGAAACGACGCTTTCAAGTGAATTCTTTCTGCATTAATATTTCTTAAGAAATTCAAAAAAATTTTGCAATTTGAGTTTGAGATTCAACTTATTTAGAATGAGTGGCAAGACTTTAAGAGAAACCAATTTGGATTTATTTCAATAAAATTCACTGTAGTTTTTTTTATTGTTACTCATCCGTTATCTACTTAATTTATCGATTTTTTTCGACTTTAAGAAAAAACAATTTGGATTTATTTCAATAAAATTCACTGTAGTTTTTTTTATTGTTACCCATCCGTTATCTACTTAATTTATCGATATTTTTCGACTTTAAGAGAAAACAATTTGGATTTATTTCAAGAAAATTCACAGTAGTTTTTTTATTGTTACTCATCCGTTATTTACTTAATTTATCGATTTTTTTCGACTTTAAGAGAAAACAATTTGGATTTATTTCAATAAAATTCACTGTATTTTTTTTATTATTACTCAAACGTTATTTACTGAATCTAGCGATTTTTTCCTATTTTATACGAAGAAAATGTTAAATGATTAACTAAGCTTTAAGAAAAAAGATTACTATATATCTAAACAAAACAAAAAAATATATAAGTTTTCATTTCATATGAGTAAATAATAGGTGTTGGCGCCATATTGTCGATATTTTTATGTTTTTTTTTTTGTTTGTAAATTCATACGCTTAAGCCTAAACAATGGAAAAATGACACAATACCGTAAAGCTGCAGTAAAAATCGCGCTGACTTATAGCAAACAAATAATAAAAGAATTTAAATAAAACAAAAAAGAATGCACAACGAATGCGAGCATAACAATAAAACTGTAAATAAATATTTAAAAAATGCACAAAAATTATTAAAAGCCATTAAAATACGCTTTCACAATAACCAAACATAAAAATGGGTAGCACATTTCGTCTGTCAGCCAAACAATCAAACTCATTTACAATGGCGGCATTAATAACAGTGTTATAACTCTGTAGGGTAATAAAAAAGTCAAAGCAATGATTTTTCTTTTTATTATTTTTTTCTCAAGCAATACAACAGATGTAACGAGTAGATGTATATGTATGTACACGTGTATATAAATTGTGGTTTTTATGTTTATTTGTATAAATGTATGTATAAACGACAACTAATTGTTATGCGCCTAAGCTTAGATGACAATCAATCTCAATCACTTCCATTACGAGCGAATTCAAAGGAAAGTTAGAGAAAAAAAACATTAAAAAATTATAAAAAAAGTAAATCGTTTAAATAACATCAGCTCTTTTCTCTCTTGGTGCCTCTTTCTTTATTTATAGCTTATTTCAAGTGTCGCACCTTTTATAGCCACACATTTTTGTGGGCCTTTCCTGTCGCGGGTTAAGCTGTATTCAGCTTGTGTCTTCACAGTGTTTAACCAATTATTTTTTATTTGTACAAAATATTTATTTTTAAAATATTTATAAAAAACGAAAAAAATAATATACTTTTTTTATAGTTCACCATAAGTTGTTTGGAAGCGCGCGTGCGCTGCTGTTTCGACATTTTTTTTTTTCTAATAAATTTTTTAAACGACTTTAACGATTGTTTATTAGTTTGATTTTAATTTCCAACATCGTTCCATAATTCTCAGCTCGTTAATAGTATATATTCGTATACGTAGAGTAACTCTTGTAGTACCCAGCGTGGTGATCTAGCGACTCATGCCCAGAGTATGCTGAGCGGCTGGAGGGAACTCTACTCCAGGCGACCTTTTCACTTTGAAAGTCTTCTATGCAGTATACGCTGGTGGCAGCAGAGAAAGAGGAAGACCTCCACTTCATAAAAAAGACCGAGGAGAGAAAGTCCTGTACGCTTTGTTTCCAATTGAAGGCAAACATCGAATAGAAGTAATGAAGGGTACGATGTTGTTAACTCGGCTGTAATCGGTGTCTACGTCTGAAAGAAGAAGAAGATACATCAGTCGATTGATTGCTTAAAAAACAAGATGCAGCAATTTTTCGAACAAACTTTCCTTCAGCGAAAAGGCGCATTTCTCATTCGAGGGATATGTTAATGAGTTAAATTGTCGCTTTTGGTGCTCCGACAATTCTCAAATAATGGTAATGAGACCATTAGACCCAAAACAATTTACTGTCTGGTGCGCTCTTTGGTCCGGAGCTGGGATTGGACTTTAGTTCATTGAAAACGACTGTCACTGTCCATTCGGAAACTTTTTTTTGCTCAGCAATTAAATAGAATCCTACTTATACAATATGTCGTTCCAAATAAATGGTGCTATAAGTTAAATAAAACAAGCTAATATAACATTATTATGAGAGACGTTTCTGTGCCATGTAATCTCTCGCTTTGGCGACGTCAATTGGTCACCGTTCGACTTGCTTTTCGTGGGACTACACGAACGACTTGAGCACTTGAAAGCCAATACTGACTGAGGTATCGACCAATCGGTGTCAAAAAGTGGGCGAAAATCACCTGAAACGTTTCGAAGTTTGCAAAAAGTCGCGTTGGGGTCATTTAAATGAAATGAAAAGAAATTGCATTAGAAAAATTTAAAAAAAAAATTTTAGTTATTTTTAATTATGTTTATTTTCGAAACCGTGAAATGTATAACCCTTTAGATATGTTTTAATAATTTTTATTAATTTTAATTATTACATAAATACAAGTTTTTAAAATTAATTCCTTAAATTAATATTATATTATATTTGTTTTATCTAATTTAAATAAAAAAACACACTAAAATTATTAAAATAACAAATTTTAAGTAATTTATTGCATAAATTAAAAGACCTTTTTATGGCTAAGTGTTTCACTCGTCATGCCTCTACTCTCTTCTGTAGCCATTATTTCTGCTGTAATTTTGAAAATCAAAACAAAATTCACTATCTGGAGCAAAATCGTAACAAAATTCACTAAACTTTTTATTTTAAAAAATTTTAAAACATTTGTATATAAAAATATTAATTTTTATTTATTTAAAAAATTATATTTCATATTTTTAAAGCTTAAAATTAATACTTTGTAAATTTAATGCATTTTTTTCATAATTTTTTTTTTAACTCCTTTCGTAGGCAAACTGCTCTGGCGTGACAAAAATTTGTATTTAAATTGATAATAGTATTAAATCTAATAAAAAATGTTTAACGTATTGCATATTTGCATTAAATTTACTGAATTAGTCTAAAAAAACGTTATACTATTGGTTGCAAAAATAAATTTAAAAAAAAAATAAATTTAAAATTTTGTTGTTATGAACCCATCTATTATATACTCGTACATATATAATAATATATATGCAAAATTATGAACCCTTTTCCCATTAAAAATTTAAATAATAATCTTCCAAACCCATTCATCATTGCTAATACCAGTAATCTCGCCATACACAATGCATACATACCTACACATAAACATATTACATATAGAGCTTATGAAATGCATAGCACAAAACATATTTAAATACAGTTGAGCTGTCACATTATTGTGAGACACACCTCAAAGGTGCCGAGATGGTGTTGAGCACGAGGTGACAAGGGCAGCCATTGACTGACATAAATCAGTAAATGAAATGAAAACTATATGGATTATTGCTGATAAAATTTATATAAGTGCATACATACGGGTGTGTGGACCTAAGTACGTGTATATGTATATGTTTGTTAGGTAAGGTAAAGAAGTGATCAAAGTGGGCAAAATATAATATATACACACATAAAAATATATAAGTATGTATTAGTAGTGCATGTACAGATAAACATATGCATCTATACATATATGCGTATGTATGTACAAAATGTATGTACTTATAAAGCCTGCATGTGACAAGAGTGCATGTCAGCTGTCGTGTTGTCAATAACTAAATAAAGTTTCAAATTAGAAAATAAATTGAAAAAAGTAAAATAAAATAAAAAGTAAAATTAAAAACAAAACAAAAAGTAAAAAAAGGAAAAACCCAAAATAAGAAAAAACAAAAACAAAAAAAAAATACAACAAAACGAAATTCAAGCAAACACTTTGACAGCACAAATAAATAAAACGCAGTGTAAAATCTAAATGTCATAACGATTGGCAGCGGAGAAGTAGCACGCGGCGGGACGGATGAAGATGAAAAGGCGCATATCAGTCTGACAGCTGTCAAAGTCAGTAAATTACTTGCCGTACGCGTATATTTTGTGACAACAAATGGTGGCTATATACATACATACATACATACATACATATGGTGTACAAACATTTCTACATAACATATGCACATGTACATGCGGTGCTAGTATAAAATAGTGTGTGTAAGCAAAAGATGTGTATGTATGTACATATATACATATGTGTTGACAAGTATATACATATGCGTTCGAACAAGCGACATACGCTATTATAATGTTGTTGTTGCTTTGTTGTTGTTGTTGTCGTCGTCGCTAAGCTTTGTTTTTGTTATTATTATGTTTGTTGCTATTGTTGTTGTTTTATTGTGTTGTTGTTGTTGTTGTTGTTGTATT